TTGAGATGGAGTCTCGCTCTGTCACCCAGGCTGGAGTGCAATGGTGCAATCTCGGCTCACTGCAACCTCCTCCTCCCAGGTTCAAGCAATTCTCCTGGCTCAGCCTCCCGAGTAGCTGGGATTATAGGCGTGCGCCCCCATGCGGGCTAATTTTTGTATTTTTAATAGAGGCGGGGTTTCTCCATGTTGGTCAGGCTAGTCTCGAACTCCTGACCTCAGGTGATACACCGGCCTCTGGCCTCCAAAGTGCTGGGATTACAGGTGTGAGCCACTGCGCCCGGCCCTTATGAGTGTTCTTTTGGGACCCTGTCAGAGCAGCTTACTAAGCACTTCCTCTGTTGTTACCTTGTTGAGTCGAGGTCTCCTCTGAAACTTTGTGTGTATTTTGAGGAGATGGACTATTTCTAGAGGTCGTCCCAGAACTGCAACTGTGCTTTCCCATAATAAATCTACAAATACTGACTTCTCTTTTTTTTTCCCCTTTGAGACAGGATCTTGCTCTGTCACCCAGGCTGGTGCAATCATGGCTTGCTGGAGCTTCGACCTCCCGGGCTCAGCTGATCCTCCTGCCTCAGCCTCCTGAGTAGCTGGGACTATAGGCATATGCCACCATGCCTGGCTAATTTTTTTTGTTTTTGTTTTTGGTATATTTTGTAGAGATGGGGTTTTGCCGTGTTGCCCAGGTTCTGACTTCTAATAAACAAAAAATTTGGTCTCTGTATCTTTCTTTTTCCCTTTATATTTCACTGAAGAAAATGAAGGTGGGCTTCTTCATGGGGCTGGGCCAGTTAAAATTAGGCTACACTCATATAAGCATTTCCCCAAATCCTCCTAATACCTCTTGTGAAAAAGGGTATCCGCCACATCACATCATCAATTCTGTGACAACTTATTCTAACCCGCTGCTTCTCAATCCTATCTGCAAGTCATCATCTTGAAAACAAAATCAAAAGAAAAATAAAAAAACCAAAAAAACGCAAGATGGGCATTGGTTAGATCAGATGTCTTCCACTGTCATAATTTTGTCACTGTTATCATTCGTGCAAAGGTGGTTTCAATCCTAAGCATAAAAATGAACCATTTTTCCTGTATTTTTGGGTCTTCAATCTGAAAGCACTTGTGTATACATATTAAATAAATTTGTATACCTTTTCTCCAATTAATCTGCCCTTTGCAAATTGATTTTTCAGCAACCTTGAGAGGACCAAAGCCCTTGGCCCCTACAAGGGATTTATGGCTTTTATTTTCAGACTTCTTATGGAAGTTGGCTGCCTTTCTAATTAAAAAAAATACTTGCCATAGGAAATTCTTTGCTTTTTTATTTATTTTTTTAAATAATAGAGACAAGGTCTTGCTATGTTGCCCAAACCAGTCTCAGACTCCTGGGTTCAAGCAGTCTGCCACCTCAGCCTCTCAAAGTGCTGGGATTACAGGTGTGAGTCACAGTACCCAGCCAGGTAATTCTTTTTATTTGTCATCCTTGTATGGTAGCTGAGACCACACAGGTGTGCACCAACATGTCTGGCTAATTTTTGTGTTTTTTGTAGAAACAGAGGCAGGCTGTGTAGCTCAGGTGGGTCTCAAACTCCTGGATTCAAAGAATCTCCTGCCTCAGCCTCCCAAACTGCCGGAATTACAGGCATGAGCCCCTACGCCCTGCCTATAATCCCATGTAGCTGGGATTATAGGTATCCACCACCACTCCCAGCTAATTTTTGTATTTTTAGTAGAGACGAGCTTTCACCGTGTTAGCCAGGCTGGTCTTGAACCTCAAATAATCTGGTCGCCTTGGCCTCCCAAAGTGCTAGGATTACAGGCATTAGCTACCGCGCCCAGCCTGTCACCTTGATTTAAATGAATGCAGCTTTCTTAGTGTCTTGATGTTTGTGAATTTCTGTGGAGTTTGATGCTGCTCCTTTTGCCGCTTGTTCTGTTTTTCCAGGGTCCGCTTATCACTTGACCTGCTGTTATATTATGTTTGATTTATTACAGATACCCCATCAGCCTGGGTCTCTCTTTACAGCCTTTGCACACATAGATCTCCACATAGGGATTTGGATTATCTCAGTATCCCACATCCTCACTGTCCCCTGTCCCCGCCAACACCTTTCTGAAGTTTTCTAGTCCCTCCTTTTCGTTTGTGCTCCTTAAAGCCCAGCCCCATGCCTGACTTTGGTTCCCACTGAGTACTGCTACAAGCATTCTACATTTGTGGATATTAAATCTTTGGCAAGGTCATTTACCTGGGCTGGAATAGGGTTCTCGGCTGATCTTCCTTCTTAAACACCCACCCAATGGGAGAGGCTGATACTCAACATGCAAACCTTGTTTTTTACTTCTCCAGGCAAAGGGTGTTGGAAGACATTCTGAAAAGGGTGTGTTGTGAAGATTTACAAATAGTCTTTGAATATCTGCTTTATGATAGGTCTTGGAGGTGCCTTGTGGGTGTGGCTTTGGAAGGATGGTTAGAAGGAAATTGTGGATATTAAGGAAGTCAGGAAAGGAAAAGATCACTCACAATTCAATAATTCAGAGAAAGCTACTAAGGGACTTGCTGGCTGCTTGATGCCCAGAGGCCAGGCCATAACTTCTATCAAGGCTCAGGACTGTGGATAGAGAATTTAAAGGGGCACCACAAAAGAAACTCAGTAATCAAGATAAACAAATTTTTAATGTAATATCTTTAAAAACACAAACTAATGCATAAAGAAAACACCCATATTGAGCAGAAAGGTTACAATTGTGCCTCTGCTTCAATTCCACCCCACCCTCCAGAAGTTTCCCTCAAGCCGCACCTGTAAGATAAAAAAAAGATAAAAACCTGTAAGATAAAAGATAAAAATGAACTGGGTGTGGGGGCTCAAGCCTGTAGTCCCATCACTTTGGGAGGCTGCCGCAGGTGGATCACTTGAGGTCAGGAGTTCGAGACCAGGCTGGGCAATGTGGCGAAACACCGTCTCTACTAAAAATATGAAAAAAGAAAGAAAAAAAAATCGGCATGGTGGCGGGTGCCTGTAATCCCAGCCACTTGGGAGGCTGAGTCAGGAGAATTACTTGAACTCGGGAGGCGGTTACAATGAGCCGAGATCTTGCCATTGCACTACAGCCTGGGAGACAGAGCAAGACTGTCTCAAAAAACAAAACAAAACAAAACAAAACAAAACAAAACAAAACAAAAACCTCGGGAATTTTTGGCTCAAGCCTCCAATTCTCACCACCACTATCACCAGGGGATCTTCTGCTGTTCACCCAAGTCCAGCCTAAGTCCTCTAAAATCCTGGGGAAACGTGACCAGACTCTCCCCATCTTCATTCCAGGAGTTTGCCCCGAGACAATGTTGCTCTCCCTGAGAACAGTCTGGGGGTTCCCTGTCCTGGTACACTGTCCTACTCTAGGGGACACAGGGTTAGTGTCGCCCCCAAACCGGGAGTTCCGAGAGAGTATTGCCTCTCCCTGAGCCACTTCTGTCCCAACCTGGCATCTGCTTGGGGAAGGGTGCACCAGGGCAGAGACTTGCGTGGTGAGCTCAGCTCACCTGCAGGTGAAGGTCAGCGCACACTGGCCACCCGGGACCGCATTTTCCAGAATCCTTTGGCGGTCCCATGATGCTCTCGCAGTCATCAGATCTCATTGGCTCGCAGAGGAGAAACTTGTCAACGTCACTTGGGCATCTTAACAGTGGGCTCTTAAACTCGGCTGTGTGCGCTGTGCAGATGTCAGAGGCACCCTGTGTGGGCAAAGCCAACTGCTTGCCCGCCTCTCTAGCTCCAAAACTACAATACCCAGAGGCCTCTGCGGTCACTTCCATTACGTACCCTACGCACCTTCCGTGTGTCGCGTTAACGTCAGAAGCACTTCTGGTCGCTGGTCCCGGCTGGTTAGGCTAGTTGGCCCCCAGGGAGGCCTCCCTCCAGGTGTTTCCCACACCTCTGCACCTCGTTACCTGACCGGCTTCAGGATTCGCAGCGTGCACCCGCATTCGGTGAGTGCCCTATAGGCAGGCAGCATGCCCCTCTGTGCGTCCCTGTGTTACTCACGGGAACTCAGGCTGGGAGCCATAGATCTGTCTCAGAACTCGGGTGCTCTCCTGTGGGCACCTCCAGGCCATTTTCCTTTCACTGGAGCCCACAGGGTTAGAGACAAACCCTCACTCTGTTGCTTGGGGACAAGGGCTTCACTCCCTGGCCCGAGCTTGGGGCTGAGCTTGAGGGTG